TGGATGGTGGGGTGGGGGGGCACCATCTTGCTTCTTTTGACACACACACACACAGACACACACACACACACACACACTTTCAAACTCCTCCAGGATTTTCGCCCAGCTAATTCTTGGTGGGAGGGCATTCAGGTGGTGGGGTTCCCCCCCTTTTCTAAAAATCTGGAGCCTCCCCTGATGCAGTCAGATACCTGGGGGGGAGGGGGGCACGTGCTGTTTTAACATGGGGAACACAACCCCAAATTTTCCCCAAACATTTCTATTTTGAACCTCTGCACCTTTAAGAGCTGTGAATGCCCAGAATTCTGGGAGTTGAAGTCCAGCTCACTTCCGGTTAGAAATTTTACTTATAATTACCTGGGTTGCCTATAGACATTTACTTCTGTCATGTTCTAATCATATGCTAAATGATGATAATAATGCCTGTGGAATTCTGGGAGTTGAAGTCCATTCCTAGCCCATGGCATTCTGGGAGTTGAAGTCCAGCTCTCTTCCAATTAATTGCCACAACGGCACAGAAGCTATCCTTATAATTACATGGGCTGCGTATATATGTTTACTTCTCTTTTGCTGTGTTCTCATCGTAGGCTAAACATGGTGGTAATAATAATAGTAATAGTAATAATGCTGTGGAATTCTGGGAGTTGAAGTCCATGTCTATTCCATTGCATTCTGGGAGTTGAAGTCCAGCTGTCTTCCAGTTTCCATAACTCCATCGAAGTTTTACTCATAATTATATGACCTTCGTATATATGTTTATTTCTCTTCTGTCATGTTCTCATCGCACATTAAATAATGATAATGATAACAGCAATAATGGCTGTGGCATTCTGGGAATTGGAAGTCCGCTCCTATTCCAGTGGCCATAATAAGCCCATAGAAGTTTTACTTATAATTATGTGGATTGCTTTTATATATATGGGGTGTGTGGGTGGGTGTTGTATATGTGTATATGTATGTATATGTATGTATATGTGTGTGTGTGTGTGTGTTATATGTTTGGTATTTAGGTTTCTTTGGGTATTTTTCCACGTCTTAATAGTTGTGTTTTTAAAGTTATAGCGACGTTTCATCAGAATCCTCCGGCTTGTGCACTGGGTTCTTTTGAATCTTGTGTGTCAGGCTTGGCAGCTGTTTTTTGTTTGAATTTGGTGCTGGCTTTCTGCTTTATTTGAATGGGGCTTTTTTTTCTTCATCCTGATTGGCTTGGAGTCTAGGTCTGTTTTCATTGGTCTTGGAGTTGCTGTGTTCTCGATCAGTTGGCAAAATTGTGTTTTGTGCATTGGGTTTTTTTTAGTGCAGCTTGGTTTCTTGTCATTATCTGTTATCCGCTAAAGGGGCTCAGGCAGGGACCTCAGTGGTTTGCTGGGAAGGGCAGGCATTAATATCTCTTTTTGTTCTTTGCCAGGCTGGCGGCATCCTGTCCACAGGCCTGGGGCTCTTCTGCGGGCCGTTTTATTACCACGCGCTAACCGGCCAGCCGGCCTTCACCCACGTGGCACCTTATGGCGGGAGCCTGCTCATCCTTGGCTGGCTGGCCTTGGCTCCCTGACGGCCCCTGGCCATTGTGTGTGTTTTCCCCCTCACCTCGAGGCCGGGCGAACGAAGAACCTCTGCCTCTACCCTTTGGGCCATCCCACCATTCTCCCTTTTGGGTGCCAGGGAGGGGCCTGGAGTAGCGGAGGCCTCCCCGCCCCCGCCAAACCTCCCCTACGATTAAATCCCAGAAGGGCTGAATCTTCTCTTTTTAAAAATAATAATAATAATAATAATGAAATTAATATTATCACAGCTCTGGGTTTGTGACGGGAAGGCATGGTAACGTGCCGATCATGCAGCTTTCGTTGTGATTTTAATAAACGGACTTGATTTTATTCCTTCCAGAACCCGTCTTATTGGGGGGAGGACCTTGGTAGCCCCTGGTTGAGGAAATGGGAGGCACCCAGGAGAAATGGGGGTGGGGGTAGCCTAGGGGTGTGTGTGTGCCTGACTTGGCTTCCCCTCCCATGGAAAATCTGGGGTGGGGTGGGCTTCTGGGCTTAAGAAGTGTGACGTGCTAGAGGTCAAAGGGTGCGGGGTTCGGGATATGTCGGCTAAGAGTCGAAGGATAGTAGAACAGTTTGCCTTCAGAAGTTGGGGGTGTTTCCATTGTTGGGGTTTTTTTGAAGAAGATTGGACAGCCATTTGTGTGGAATGATATAAGGCCTCCTGCCTTGGGAAAGGGGTTGGACTAGAAGACCTCCAAAGTCCCTCCCAGCCCTAGGGTTCTATGATCAATCTGTGTCTTCGATCCATCAGGTCTGTCTGTCATCGCTCTCTCTATCATCTATCATCTGTCATCTTTCTCTTTCTCTCTCTATTATGTCATCTCTATCATCTCTATCATCTATCATCTCTCTACCATCATCTCTCATCTCTCTCGTCTCTATTATATCATCTATATCATCTCTCTATCATCGCTCTCTCTAGCTACATCTATGAGAGAGAGAGAGAGAGAGAGAGTGAGTTGATAGATGGTAGACACAGAGGATGATAAACACACACATACTATGTGTGTGTGTGTCTATCATCCTCTTATATCTCTACCATCTATCTGTTTATCAACTTATCTCTCCCTCTCTCCCTCTCTATTTATCTCTCTATTCATCTATCCATATGTCTGTTTGTGTCTGTCTATCATGTCTGACTTCCTCTCTCTTTATGTATCTTATATGTCTGTCTATCTGCCTTGGGCCCCTGGAGGTTGTACTAGAAGACCTCCGAAGGCCCTTCCAGCCCTAGAACTCTATGATCTGTGCGTCTGCCTTCCCTCCATCCTATCTGTCTTATCTATCTAGCTATCTTCCCTGTCTGTCTAGCTGGTTATCCATCTTCCATCCATGATGTCCCCCTGTCTATCTAGCTAATTATAGGTTTCAAGAAAAGATTAGGCAACCATTTGCCCAAGTTGGAAGGAGGACTCCTGCCTCGCTCCCCTGGGGGCTGGAAGAGATGACCTCTAAGGTACCTTCCTGCCCTAGGAGTCTACAGTTGCACATTATAGTCCAACACGTGGGTGATTCCAGTATGACATGGGAGGTGGCCCCCTCTGAATTAGGCTGGCCACAGATAATGGTGGAACGTGGCTAAACAGACTTCAGAATTAAAAAAAAAACCATGGGCTCTCTTATTTATTTATATTATTTATTATTAACTAGCTCGATCCCCATGCTTCGCTACAAAACTCTGTGGTCGGGCTTAGTTTTTGGGGAGGAAAATAAGGGGGTAGGCGGAAATTCTGCCTCTGCCCACCAGCATCCATGGGTATTCATCTGGCTAGCGTCTTGTCAGTGTGTGAGAGAGTGGAGGGCTGTTTGGAAACTGAAAGAGTATTTGCTGGGTGAGCAAGAAGGAGACATCAAGGAGCCTGGGCGTGGCTTAGCTCAACTGTTCTAGACTGAAGCTGCTTGGTGCTCCTGTGAAACTCCTCTGCTTGTGTTTTGCATTTGGAAGATGTTTCTTTTCAGGTGGGGAGGGGAGTCGAACTCCTTAACATCGGAGTATAATAATAATAATAATAATAATAATAATAATAATAATAATATAGGAAATACTAATGCTCTGATGATCATTTTGAAAAATCCCTTCTTAGTGAGTTCCTAGGAGCTAAGAGGAACATAGGTGCCCAATTTCAAGTTTGCAGGCTTTACAGTTCTGGAGATTTTGTGGTGATGCCTGAGGGGGTCTTCCACTTTTACATATATAGATTTATTATTATTATTTATTCATTCGTTCAATTTCTGTAGCCACCCAACTCAGCCGAGAGACTCTGGGAGGCTTTGCAATTCTGAAATCCTACAAACACAATAAAGAATCGGAGCCGCCCCAAATGTCGGAACAAACACCCAAAACCATCTAAGCTAAAAAACAAACAAACACCTGAAGCGACTTGGGGGCAACTCCCCATAGAAAGATTGACCCAAATGTGTCAAGTCTTGAGATTTTTGGCTCTGAGTCACGGCAAAAGACTGACCATCTGCAAACAGGATGACTTTCTGGGGGATGTCGCAACACCGGAGACACTCAATTTAAACAACCCCCCCTCCGCCCCCACAGAAGAACAGCCGGCCTCTGTAAGCGGGGTGGAAAGAATGGGCTTAAATCCCGCCCCCCCAAGACAGAGATTTTGGGGTTTGCTTTGAGAAGTCACCCTTGGTAGGTGAATTGAGAAGGTTGGAGCATTGTAAAGGTTAAGAGGGCAAAACTTAGGAATTTCCAGGCTGTGATGCAACAAAGGAAGTGCCCTTTGTGGATCTGCAACAGAGAGAGTTTTGGGGTGTTTAGGGCAACCCCGCCTTCCCTTCGGGAGTTTCTGCAAACTGAAAGAAACTGGCCAGATTCTCTAGCATTTGCGGCCTGAAAACAGGGCTGTGTTTATTTTATTGCAATCCCCTCAATCAGAAAAGAGCTGGAAGGTGCCTTGGAGGTTATCTAGTCCAACCCCACCCAAGCAAGAGACCCTATATACTGTTTCAGATGAGTGGCTGTCCAGTCTCTTGAATTTTTATTTAGGTTGTGTCCCGTGACTCTGTCCCTTCACTCTGAAGTGAAGCAAAAGGAAACAGATCAGATGAGGGGCGTCCAATCTTGGCCACTTTAAGACTGCCCCGCGCTGGCTGGGGAATTCTGGGAGTTGAAGTCCAGAGGTCTTAAATGGGCCAAGATCAGATACCCTGGATTAGGTAGGTTTAGCTTGTGGGGTAGGTTGAGGAAGAAATGATAGAGAAAAACAGCTCTATTATTGTTGTTGTAGTTATTATTATTATTATTATTATTAAACTTTTATTCATTAAACATGTAACTTAGTGAACTAAACATTTAAAAATGTATCACAACTAATAATTATTAACCTTATTAACCATGAAATATTATTATTACTAATTTCATAAAACATGAAACTTACTATTAATCTCATTAAACATGAAACTATGGTATTGTTATTATTATTAATCTTTTATTCATTAAACATGAAACATAGTGAACTGAACATTTAAAAATGTATCACAAATAATCATTAATCTAATTAAAAATGAAACTATTATTATTAACCATTAAACATGAATCTATTATTAATTTCATTAAACATGAAACTTATTAATTTCATTAAACATGAAACTCTATTATTAACTTCATTAAACATGAAACTATATTATTATTATTATTATTATTTT